CCCGGGCCCTGCCATCAGGCTGGTTGGCTAGCTTGGCTTCCGGCAATTACTTCTTAATTCATTTGTTTTTTCAGATAATTCTGACCTTAAGTCAGCATGAAATATGCTCCATGAGGTCCCCGAAGCGATTGGACAAAAGTAGGGTGCTTTCATGTTATTCTTGATTTGTATTTGACCTTGCTCATGCTCTGCCACTGGCTCCATGAGGCGTGATCACAGGCCACAGATGGCCTGTGCCTGTAAGAACTCAGAAACATTCTTTGTGAATCACTGAGAGAACATTGTTCTGAGAGTCGTACGTAACCACGTCCACTCTAGGTTTCTTGTTTTTCAGAGTGGAGTATGGTCTCCATAACCTCCGTGGTTCTCACCCTTCTGACACTAACAGGGGGCTTGTCCTGGCTTTGTATCTTCTGCTGAAAGAGGTACCTGGGCTGCTTGTCTGTGTATTTCCCTGAAATCAAGACACCTCATCAAACGGGACTTTATAGCTGGAGTCGCTTTTGCTGGGCTTTGTTAAGCTGCTGAACCATACGATAGCCGCATTTTTTATGGGACAAACTAGACTTTAAAAGTCCTTTATAGGAGTGCCTGACTGGCTCAGTTGGTGGAATGTGCAACTCTTGAGCTCAGGGTCGTGAGTTCAAGCCCCACATTGGGTGTGGAGACTACTTAGAAAAAATCCTTTATGAGGCGCTGCCCCGCACAAGGCGTATGTGCCCAGATAAATGGAATAATGGCAGGGGCAGCTTCTCATTTCCTAGAAGGTTCAGCAATTCTGTATCCAATCTCATGTTGCTTGGTGTCATCTCACATTGTGTGCATTCTAACACTCCCGGAGCAGCCTGACTGATCAGCCAGCCCTCAGGAGAGTTAGGAGTTCTAGAACACTCAAGCAAATTTAGATTTTGATTCTTTTGTGTGAAGCAACAGTAGAATCTATCTGAGTTCTATTTAATGAATGCCAAACTTTCATCAAGGCGATGTGATCACTAAAGAGAAGCTTTACTTCAGGTTTTTCTTTCTTTTTCCATGGAGCTGACCACTGAGAAGGCGGTGAGCAGCCTCATTGACTGAATCTTCCAGAACTCTGTGCCCAGCCCTGTGTGAGGGGATCTGTAGAGACAGTGATTAACCAAGTCCTTAGAAGACAGTGTGGGATGACCCAACTTCCTATACGAAACACTAAATGCTCTCCAAGGGAGATATGATTAAAAAAAATGTGTATCATAAATAATAGTTACTTTTTGAAACCACTTCCATTATCTTGGTTTTATTTGTGATTACTTTCCCAAAGGTGAGGCTGGTGAAGGGGGGTGGGGTGGGTACAGGTATTCAGAGGCCTCAATCCCATAGTAAAACTTCTCTGAAAGTTTAAAAAATACAAATTCTGCAGTTTTGTGACATATCAAGCAGATACGGTCATGATAAAGTGGTTGACTGTGACCATTTATTAAGTATCTGCCATTGTGATGAGTGGCTCTGAGTGCTTTACATACATTTCCCAATCCTCCCACCAACCGTATAAAAAGGGACTATTTTTACTCCCATTTTACAGGTGGGAACATGGAGTCAGGACGCAATCAAAAAATTATCTCAGAGTTTCCCAGCTAGCAAGCACTAAATTAAGGATTAGAGGCCCAAGGTCTTGGTCACCAACCAATCAGAAAAGCTGATTCAGTGCCATGAAACTGTTCTCAGCACACCTTCCCATGGCTTTGAAGTGTACTTTCAAAGAACCCTGCAGCTTAGGATGACGCACACCCAGTGGTTTTCATGCCTTGTGAAAAAATGAAAAGCCGGGTTGTTGCTAATTAGTTTTGGGGCATCTGTTATATTTCTGGTTTGTTTGTTTGCTTTTCGTTTTGTTTTCTGGTTGTTAGTTTATGTTGCCTTTTCGTTCTACATTTTGGACATTCCAGGCTAGTATAGGTTCAGGGGAAAACATGTGTACCTAGGCTTTTCTTTCTTTCTT